GCCGGCGGCGAGAAGACCGAGACCTTAACATGGCAGCCCGGATGGGCTCGCTGTCCGAGCTGAGGCTTGTGTCGGTGGCAGCCGTGGGAAGCGGTGAAGCGGCCGTCTTCGAACCTTTCGGAGCCATCGGACCCTCCTTCGGGGTGCTCAACGAGTCGGCTTTTGCTCGTTTGGACGTCTTGGATGGAGCGAAAGAAGCTTGCCGAAGAGGCCGCTTACCGGTCACGGAAGCAAGCGGCCGACCACTTTGGGGGGTGCCGGTGTCGGGGCCCGACACTTGTGCAGCGTCAGCGACCCGGGGAAGGCTAGTCTCTCCGTCGGCACCACCCTCCACGGGCTCCGTCATGAAGTCCGAGTGGCTGGGCTCAGCCACGAGGAGGGAGAGCCGACTATGTCGAAACTCGACTTGGCTCCTCCAGTGGTTGGTCAGTGCCATCTCGTGCCGAAACTTCCCGTCGAGACGCGACACGAGTGCACGAGAGTCACCAAGCTCCCGCTCTAAGCGCTCACAGCGGACCGACCAGTATTGTGGGGAGGGAGACATTAGCGCCAGCCGACTCTCGCAAGCCTCGACCCGGCGAAGAATCCTCACGACATCAATTGGAACCACGCTGGGTGTTGCACTACCGCTGCTGAGGGTGGCCGGTATGGCCGGGTAGACCTCGACGGGAGCGGTAATGACTGCAGCGACTGGAGATGCGGCGACGACTAGAGGGGCAGACGTGGCTGGGGGCGGTGTCATCCCAGAAGTGGCGGGGGGCGACTCCAACGATGGCGAGACCGGCAATGATGAAATGTCGTCTGCTTGGCCAAGGACCTCGGCCGGATGTCCGCGGATCGGCGAGGCAGGAGTGGAGGACAGACCCTCAGTGGAGGGGCCGGGTCCCTGCGTAGACGTGCTCATGCTCGAACCGCTGTACGTCTGAGCAAGTGCAAGGAGCGGCTGTGGTAAAGCGAACTTTCTGGAAAGGGTAGGCTCAAGGAGGGATGGACCGGAGGGACAGGGGCCTCGCGATCGGAAAGGGACTGGAGGCCAAGGAGCCACAGAGGAGAAGCGGCCGTTGGGTTCCAGCCGTTGAGAGCGGCACCAATGCGGATCGTTCTCAACCACTCGTCGGTCGACCGGGCCACTCGTCGGTAGGTACGGCCGACCCAGGCGGCCTCGGTCACCCAAGGGCCGACCTGGTCACCCTTTGGTGGGTACGGCCGATCAAGGCGACCTCGGCCGCCCAAGGGCCGACCTGGTCACCCTTTGGTGGGTACGTCCGATCAAGGCGACCTCGGTCACCCAAGGGCCGACCTGGTCACCCTTTGGTGGGTACGGCCGATCAAGGCGACCTCGGTCACCCAAGGGCCGACCTGGTAATCCATTGGCCAACCCGGACTATCAAGATCAAGCGTCCCTGACCACTCATCATAGTGATTCCAGGCGTAAGGCAAGTACAGAGTAAAGGAGTTTAAAGGATAGGACATTATTAAAGACTACTCAATTTGCGATCTAAGCCACACGTCTCGTGAGCCAAGAAGCTTGTAAGTCTACCAACCTGTTCCGGGCCAGGGATCTATTTGGCCCACCCGTTGAATAGACAGTGCTGGTAAGACTCAAGTGCAAATAGAACCCCAGTAAGTATATTGGCCTGTAGGTTCGTGGAGTAGCACCCCCCCCCAACTCAATCCCGCTATAGGAAGCGGTCTCCATACCCTAGTGGTAAGGGATGAGGATACATAAAGGCCAGGCGGTGGACACCCCTGAGACACATAAAGGCCAGCCGGTTAACACCCCTGAGACAAGCAAAGGCCAGGCGCTACTAGCCCTGAGAACTCTGGTTATAAGTCCACTCTCAACCAAGTTGACCGAGTGGCTGCCCTAACTGGACCCCGACTGAAGCATATCCGCTCGGGGCCCCCAAGGTCGACACACACCAAGACCGACATCTAACTCCATCGCCACGTCCTCCGAAGAGTGATACCCGCCAAGCCGACGGGTACACAAGGTGAGTTTAGGATCCAAGCGGAATAGGAGTACCCCCTCCTCAAGTCGGCAGTCCGGCACAGTGGGCGGTTTGGAGTCACGCCAATCGATTTTGGCGACTACTCCACCTCACAAGCAATAAGAACATGTATAGATTTAGTGCGTTAACGAGAAGTGGTGGGGCATGCCGAAAATTGCCTTGAAACAATCAAAAGCAGCACCATTGTCACCACCTCATCTTATAAGCATCCATCATAGAAGTGCTAGTCTCGAAGCAATGGAGGTTCTATTATAACATAGCCGTTAACCGTGACCTCAATCGTACTTTCAGTGGCCGGAAGGATATTGGATATGTTTAGTATCGGGTGCGGGATATTCACTTGGACATTGAAGATGACGCACTTGATTCGATACTTCCTGGCAGCCCATAGTATCCTGCCCCGTGACATGTCGGTGATCCACCGGATGAGGTGAGGTCAGTCAACGATACAACTGGTTGTAGCAATGTCTTTTCGAAGCGGTTTCTTTTCTCGGATCATATTCAGATTGTGAATACGATTGGCCTTGTCCTCCAGACACTTGAAACAATGATTTATCGCCTAATATAGCTGCTGCTTTATACACTCGTTCAGTACACGACATAGAATCATTTACACTCGACACCTCTGGCAAAAAGTCATCATGGATGGTGCTGCAAGGTAGGACTTGAGTGGCCTGTTGAACATCATGGGCACAAATAATTAAGTACGTTAAGACAGCCAATACCACCTACCTGTGACGCCTGTTGCCAGATTAGCTACTGTCCTTCGCTCCAGTAGTAGACACACATATCATCGACGTTCTACTTATATTCGACACGTCAGCTCGCATGTTGCCATTAGCCTCGGACTGCTGGGGGGACGTAATCAAGCAGTCGTTGTCTTGCTGACGATTCTCCATCCAGAAATCTGAAACCAGTAGCTTTATAAGTCGCGATAGGATCAAATGAAGGCAAACAGTAAGCTTTTCAGCTCGTACCTGGCTCGAACCTGCCTTACGTCAGTGCAGCCCCTTGGCTCGAACCTGTCTTACGTCAGTGCAGCCCCTTGGATAGAACTTGTCTTACGTCAGTGCAGTACATTAGCTCGTGACTTCTTGATGTATATTGTTAAACGCTAAGACGTAACGATTAGCAATGGTGTGGGGGAAAGGACTGTCGCCTTTAATATATATGATACGTTCGTATTGATCGCAAGACGCGGTGCTATGTACCGCTGTTGTTTAGCCATCTGTCAAGACGAGCTCAAATTACGACCCAAAAACAACTGATTATGTGAACTAGTGTAGTTGGAGATAGAGTTGGCGCCACGTAGTCTTTCAGTTGGAGATGTATCCCTCGTCCCCAGAGCATCGCACGTACCATCTCTTCTGCAATCATGACTTCTCCTCATTTGCACTTGATCTTCTTAGCGTGAGCTCACTGCCTCATCCAGCAACAGCAAACTAGCACAGCACTGTCTACTGACGCCATGCGGCATGGTCGGAGTCGTCCAAGATCAGCATGTCTAGAATATTTGGCCCCGATAGAAGTGCCAGCTGAGCGTTGGCTTCCGATGGCGCAACGTATAACCTGGCATCCATGTTTTAGAGTACTGGCCTGAGGGTCCCCACCCTCTCGTTTGTCACGACAACAGCTCTCACACGTGCCAAAAGAAAAGCTTATCTGCTTTCTGGGCGCATATGTTGTTCCTCAAGTAGCTTTGTCTGCCTTCCGTCTCGATCCTAAGTGGCTTCTGGTAAAGAAGTGGCGTCGATGTTGCCGAAGATTTAGTGAGCTGTAGCTACTTTGTGACCAGAGATTGTCTTTCTCGTCTACTATGCTTCTAGTAGCGTCTGTCTTCACCTTGGCTCTACAGAAGCTTCATCAAATACGAAGATTGGCGTATCACGTGCGCTGGTAGCTGTCTAAGCTACTGATTGGTATAGTTCTAGTACCGCATGGCGACAACGCATAGGGGGTATGGACATCGAACACGGTGTCTCAAGTAAACGGAGTGAGGGTGTATTAGATTAAGACCCGCTCGTTCACCTAAGCACGAGATGCCGTTTGCTCCAACGCCACAACTATTACGTACGTTGTCTTCTGTTGCATGTTGCACACGTAGCGATAGTTGCCAAAGCATAGTCGGTGTGTGGTGATAGGGGTCATGTGGCAATAGCGTCGATTCGAGCTGGAATTGGGCTTCGGAAAGAAGCTCCGAGAACTGCACAGCAGCTGAAAGAACTAGTAGTGTGCAACAGGTAACCGAGAGCGCCGGTATTTGTGAATGTCAGTCGTGCAAATGCACTCACGCGCCAACGTCTATCGAGTCGACCGTTCACTGAACGGGGCTATGAGCCCAAAGTACGCGAAGCACTCAACGAAGCAGGTGGGAAAGCAAAAGGAAAAGAGCGAAGGAGTCTCGATCGAGTGGGACGGGCGTGACTGGTAGTTTTACAAGCTTGTAATGCAATCTGTATTCGATGAGCAGAAGTCGTCTGACTCGATTGGCAAGCGGTACGTCAAGGCGAAGTGTGCTGATCTCCAGTACACCGTGAACAAACTCGATATGCGCGAAACTTTGCTGGCTAGTTTCCTGACAATGGCGCAGTATAACCAATTGCGACTGCCTGTCTAGCGTACGGTACTGTGCAACATCTGGTCGATGTAGGTCGGATCAAGCAGCAATTGTGATCAAGAAGTCCCGTTTTATTGCATCGCCACTAGACGTTATGCCAAACGAACGCTTGTCCGGTACTAGTACCTCAACTCTGCGCCAAAAGACCAAGTCGACTGCTGCTTCTCTTTTTACGATCAAAACACGGACGTACGGGAAGATTCCCTGACCAAGGCGTCAGAGGAGAGAGAGAGCTGCCACACGACAGACGTATGCTGCCAGTTGATGAGTCCAGCCACCTCCAACTCTCCTCGACTCAGTCAACAAGACAGCACTCGATCGCCACGACGCGAAGCAAGGCGAGTTGCACGAAATCCACAATGCACAGCGAATCAGCAGTCGAGGTAATTGGCCGCCATGAGCAGCTCCATGGCGATCTCCGGTTCGATCGCAAACTCGGGCAACCGCGACGTGCTGTCCGAGTACTGCGTCTTGTAGTACATGTACTGCGACACTTTCTCCAGGATAGGGGCACTAATGTCCGGGAACGTGATCTCGCCCTTGCTCTCCGTGAACTGACCTGCACACAGCAAAGCAAACAGCATCAGGCTCGATGCGTGCACTCTACGCAGCCTCTTAACACCAGCGCCCGTTCTGTCGCGTGGGACGGTATACGCACCACTCAGCATCGCGCGAATGGTGCCGGAGACCATTGCGCACGTCCTACTGATGTAAATCTCGTGGCCTTCGGCGCTGCAATACAAAAAACACAGCAGACAAGCGGCTCAATATGATCCATAGGTGGGTGGCCTCGTCGACGAGCTGCAGTGGCGCGAGCGCCTCTGCGGTCGAGCGGCGTCGCTCGAGCGAGAGAAAGTACCTGATCAGCTTGACCATGTCGAGCACTGGTGCCGCGGCGGCAGTGGGGGCCTCGTCTGCCATCGTCCGCGTCGCTGCGCGTGCGACTCGAGGAGCGCTACGAGCCGCGGGGACGTCTGGGACGGTGGGTCGGAACGGTGTCGATGGCGTTAAGTGCGGTTTTGGCTTTGAACCACCATTGTAAAGACAAGGTACGTGTACTGGAATGACGCCACCACATGCACCCGACTTTTCGCCAATGAGCAACGACGAAGGCGGTCGGGGTCGTTTGGCCGTATGGAAATGGCTACAGTGTCGCTGAGTGCTCGCACATGCACATTGACAAGCGGTAACAACTGCTACATGCGGTATAGTGAAAGAGCTCTTCAAGTGCTGCGACGTGTCGTGCAATGGTCAGTCCTGTACACAGCACCTGAGCTTACCCGTTCGACACTACAGAATCAACCAGTTCCGCCCTTCCCCTCCAATGCGTTCACAGCACCCTCAGACACGCCCCTCCCTCCCTTTTCAATGTGTGCAACGTCATATTACCAGCAACGCCGCTCCCTCTCTTCCCTCGGCCTGCGCTCATCCAGCCTGGTTCTTGAGCACCTGGAAGACCTTTTTCTTGATCCACTCCTTGCCACACGGCAGGTACGTCTTGGTCTCGAGGTCCAACACGAGCGCGCTAAGGTCCGTGAGCGAATCAATGTACGTGTAGAGATCCTGAATGTCGTACGTGATGTTCTTCAGATCGGGATTGAGCTGCTTGAGCTTGGCCTCGTACATCTTGACCACGCCGTCCATGCCACCGTTCACCGACTCAAAGTCCAAGTACGTGCGCGAGTTCGGGTCGCGCGTGTACTGCACGAGGATGATCGTGTGCTTGGCCTGTCGGAACTCCGCCTGCACAACAACGACAGCAACAGCAACAGCAACAGAAGCATAGAGCAGCAGAAGCACAGAACAGCAGAGGCATCGTCAGTATGCGATGACTCCGCTCGAGCCAGCCAGTCAGCCCTCTCGCTCAAGCTCTACCATGATCGGCCTCCTTCCGTTGGCGCGTCGTCGACTGGCTGGAAATGTGCTCGTAACTGCGAAATGGTGTGGTCGACACGATCGGTCACCTACGTCCAGAGCTTGTGGGGCAGAATGTTGCTCGAATGTCGCCACAATGGCCGCGCGCCCTCGACGAAACCAAGTAAGCACGTCCCTCTCTCTCTCTCTCTGCACGCGTTGACGACAATGGGTACAACTCATTCAGAGCTGTGTCAAATACAAGAGGGCAGTGTTCGTCGCTGGCTCATCACTTTCTCTATGTGTGCTGCACGCACACTCGGCAATCCTTCGGCCGTCGTATGGTATAACTAGCGACGATACTGTCACGACCGATAGCTTCTTCCTTTCACGTCCTTCGCTCAGCAGTCTGAGGGACAGCAACAGCGAGTGCTGCTGCTAGCAGCGCCTCTCATTACACACTGGCAGGTAGACGTACCAACCTGTTCACTGTCAGGGAGTAGTGCGTGCGAACAGGAGATTGGCACACCCAAACAGCTGCGATCTTAGCTATGGACAGAGCAATTAGATGTGCGTCAAGAGGAGGGAATCTATTCACTGGTTATCCCAAGTCCAACACGTCGCTCTTGTCCGTCCACGCGGACATCCGAAAAGCTTCAAGCCGCTTCGCGTCGAATCGGTCGCTCTCAGCGCAAAGAAAGAGCAATCTCGTCTCCCTCCACCCCAAGCAAGCAAGCACACTTGCTTGGCGTCGGGCTCGGCGCTTAGCCATACTGCAGACGGAAGACGTCATTGTGGATGTAATACTGGCCAGCCTGGTGGGCCACGAGCTGGAACACCTGCGTGAACTGAATCGGGTTGTTCTCTTCGATCTGGAGCTTGCCCTGCACAAAGATGATCATGGCGTTGCCCGACGTGGACGGCTGGATGTCCAATGTCGAGTACTCGTGACGCATAGTGGGCAGACCCTGTAGCTTGGCGACAATGGTCTGCTGCCCCGTGGACAGTTGGCCCTCCCAGCTCATGCTGGACACATCTTGCTACAAAACACGAACCGCGGCAGTTAGTATCGAACGGACCGTGACGAGGTCGAGGCAACCCCAACAGGCGAGACAGTGGGTGGGCGACACGTACGTAGAGAACGGCCAGACCCGCTCGGTTCGTGTCGAACGTCGTGTAGTAGTGCTGCACAAAGGCTTTGGCGACGTCTTCAGCAGACATAACGGCCAACAACGCGATCTCTCTCTCTCTACTCGGCTCTGGTTCCGTCGCTTTGGCTCTCGGATGGGAAGTTCGGGATGGCCCACTTCGTGGCGTGGACGGCGAGCGCCTTTCATTGGTGGAAATCGATCGATCGAATCGGTTTATGCAGGTGAAGGAAAACACACATGGCTACACCTTGGCGACCACCGTAGCGCTGGCGAAGAAGAGCTGCAGTGCTGTTCCGACTCGATCGCTTCCAACGAGTTCGCGTCGTTGCCGTCAGCGATTACCGATGAGACACTGGAGCTGCCAAGCAATGAAAGCTGCTGACGTGTCAGGAACGACTCGAATAGCTGCTTGGACACGTCGCACTTGGGGATCACATGGCCTTGAGCGTGCATCGACGTCCGCACGCGGTTCCCGAGCGTCTGCACGCAACGAGTAGGACATACAATCAGTCGGTCAGGCGACCTGCACGTCAATGTACAATGACAGCTGTGCGCACCGTGTGCTGCTTGAATATGTCAACCACTTGCTGGCTCTTGGCAGGTGGAACGACGCCGTCGTTTGAGCCAAAGATGTGCAGCGACGAGATGTCCGAGATAACGCCCGAGTCCAACGAGAGCGGTGGAGAGCCCACGTAGCTTCCAATGAGCACCGCTACTTTCGGAGACCACTGCAACTCAGCACGTGCCTGCACCACAGGGAGGGATCACACGCGTATCAGTTGCCGTCTCAAAAAGACAAACCCATTCACCACATCTTGCTCGCGCGCTTTACGCACTCGTTCCGAACACATCCACGCTGCTAGACTCGCTCCTTGCGAGAACCCAAGAACGCCATCAACGTCTCCAATCTCGTCAATCTGCTCGCGCAAGAAGCCCACAAGCACGTCCCAGTCTCTCGCCAAGCGGCTCGGGTCGACTTCCTCATTCGAGCCCAGCGGCCGCCGCCACGCTCGATACTCGGTCTCCATCTTCTTCGTCTCTGTGGTCTTCGTCTGCTCCTTCCGCCTCACGTGTGCTCGTTGACTGGACGCTGCGAACAACTCGCTCGGCCGCTTGCTCAATCGCCTCCCTGGACGCGTGAGAATAGGCGGCACAACCGCAAAGGGTCCGTCGAGGAAGACAAAGTCCACGTTGGCGGTCGCACGGACGCCGCGCAATGGGTTCATCTTGACCGCAAACGTGCTCGCGTCCTGGTACATGCCATGGAGACACAGCAGACGCAGCTTACGGCCCGTGTCTCTGTCCAGCGCGCGCCCGGCCGTCTTCATGCCAGCAGCTCCGCTGGAACGAAAGGAGACGTTAAGGGACGTACTATACGTCTCGGCCAATCGTTGCGAGCGGAGTGTCGCCTTCGGATTGTGCTGAGGATGACAACAGCAGTGCGATTAGTATCAGTTTACAGTCAGTAGGTGTCGAGTCGATTCCGAGCGCAAAGGGTCTGTACTGACATAGTGTGGTGGCGTCGGCTGGGCGTGCGGTGGTAGCGAAAGTGGGGCTGGCAGTCCGTTTGCACTTGACGCACTTGCACAAGTGGCGAGATGTATCCACGTGAAACTCCGAGGTAGCATTTGACCGCAGAGGGCATCGATCCTACTTCGTTTTGGGGGTCGGTACAGAAAAGTCCGAGATGGACATCGTGCGTGTGTCGAGCAGAGATGCAGACAGCTTCTTCAGCCACGAGTCGTGACTGCAGCTGCTGACATGGCGCTTTGCCTGTTTCCCGGCGACGACAGCGTCCAAAGCAGATCGGACCATGGCCACCACCGCGCAGTTGAGCTGCCTGCGCCATGGTCCCAACCCGAGCAGGTTGCCACCAAAACACCCGTACCAAGGCCTCGATATGTGCACGCCAACACAGCACCATGTTCTCTTCCTCAACACACAGCTGTCGCATCGCTTCTACACTGACAGTGCGTCCGTGATGTTGCAGTAGCGACCGCTCGTCTTCTCCGCCGTAAAGTCCAGATCATTGACAACACGCTGCCGGAGCCTCTCTTTGAATTCAGTCTCAAAGACGTCCAGCATTCCCGTCTTCGACAAGTGCGCGACCACGTCCTTCGCCATTGCTTGCCACGTCGAGTTGGGCTCGAGCTGCGCCGAGCGTACCGCCTCGGTGAGCATAGCAGCCAGCATCGCACTCACTTCCATGTGATCAGTTGGCAACGGCGACGCTTTGGTGCGGTACGACCGACTCAGTGGCTTCGTCAGCAATCCAGAGGCACTGGCAACGCGAAGTGCGGTCGCGTCCTTGTCAATGGTCGTAAGCCAGTCCGCCTGCTCGTTCGAGGGCACGTGGCGCGTCACGAGCTCCTGCCACGCGACGGCCGCGTGTGGGTGCAGCGAGTGGCCACTACCTCCTCCGAACATCGGACTCGCACCGCTACGTCCGTTGAGCATTTGGGCCATCATGGGCATCATCTGAGACATCAGGTGGCCCATGTCCGGCATCGCGGCTGGACGCGCGACGGCGTTCGCTGTTGGTGTCGCGGGGCGGAGCGACGGCAGAGGACGCGTTGTGGAGGTACAGACGGCTGCTGGAGCTCGAGACTGCGTGTCTTCTCGCTCGTCCATCTCCAGCAGCAGATCGTCTGCTAAGCTGTCCAGCAGATCGTCGTCCGAGAGGGACATGTCGTCGAGGATCTCGTCGCTCATTCTGCTTTGCTCGCTCGTCGAAACTTCCGGCGACGAAGGGCACACAACGCTTCCTGCGTAAGACCAATGTGCAGTTTACAAGAACAGGAGACGCTTGACAAGCCTAATATGCAGTTTACACGCCTGACATACACTTTACAGGCACGACATACGCAAATTACAAGCAGTTCATTCACTTTACAAGCACAGTATACAAGTTGCAAGCATTGCCTGCAGTTTACGAGACGAACGAGCAGCCAACAAGCACACGATTCACTTTGCAAACTTCGTATACACTTTGTCAGCACCATTATACACTTCGCAATGACATTGTACACTTTACAATCACATTGTTCACCTACCTGACAAATCTGGCATTCGTGTTGCAAGCCTGACACACGCTTTACAAGCATAGGCCATTCCACACTTTACAGGCGATTGCTCGACCTTACGAGCAGTTGGTCGTGTATTGCTTGGGGCTTGCAGCAGCAGCAGCATTACAGTGCTACGCGGGGCACCACTACAGCTACTTCTTTGTCTTCTTTGCTGCCTTGACGGGCTCGTCAATCACGATGATCTGGTCTTCGTGCACGCCAAAAACCTCTGGCAGCACCTCCAATAGCTCAGTGACACAATCGCCCTGCAGCTGAATCTGTTGCTGACCCTGGTCTGTCTTGGACAATGACGAGCTGCAGGCAAACTTCTTGCCCATACTCTTGCAGGCCTCCTTGATATTGACGCCCTCAATATCCTCGAGCCCCGTGACGAACGTGAGACGCTTGCGCCCCTTGCGCGAGCTCTTGGAGATCGTCACAATGCAGTTTTCTTTCCGCTTTGCCGCCTCCTCAATCTTGCTCTTCTTCTTCTTCTTGACCGTCTTGCCCTCCACTTCGAGTGAAATGCCTTCGACGCCATCGGCAATCTGTTGCTCCACCTCCAATAGCTCTGCTACCGTGCGATTGTACTTGGTGAGCACAAGATCCGGACAGTGCTCGGCCAGCCACGGCTTGCACTCGTTGAACATGGGGCCGTACTCACAGTACTCGGGCGGAAACGTGTCAATAGGACAGTACATCACGTCGCACATCTTGGGCGAGCTGCCCCCCTCCTCCTTCTCGTCCTCGTCTCCATCATTCTCCACCTCGCCCTCTTCTCCCTCGTCCTCCTCATTGTCCTGATCATCTTCTTCCTCGTCCGAGTCGCCTGGCTCCGGCCCGTACTTCTTCACCAGCGCATCAAATAGCTTTGACTCGTTGTCCTTGTACTTGGCCAGCACCTGAGCCACGTTGCCGATCTTCTCGGGGTTATGCTTCTTATAGAAAGCCAACAGTCGCTCGTGAGTGTACTCCTGTGCCACCTGCGACTCGCCTGGTTCGCCACTTGAAGCCGCACCGGTCTCCGTCGTGTCCGACGTAGCAGCAGATTCAAAGACCTCGTCCTCGGCCGGTTCAGGGCCGTACTTCTTCACGAGCGCCGAGAACAGCTGCGCCTCGCGTCCTTTGAATCGCTCCATGACGCTGTTGATCTCATGCAGCTTGTCGGCGTTGTATTTCTCGTAGAAGCGCGTCAGACGCGCGTGGTGCGACGACATGGCGCAGGAGTTTTTTTTGCCGGTACTTGTTGGTCACTGGCGATGATGAGATGAGAAGACAAGAGGGGGTTTGCTTAGCTCCTCGTACCTTGTATTTCGATGTACCTCAATGCATCATTCACCGTATAAAGAGCGAGACAGGTCGTTTACTGCATAACTTGTCAACTTGCGAGAGCAGATATCTTGTTTCTAGCCGCCGCTTAACCGCAATTTGACAAACCGGTGGTTACAGCATAGCACACTGCTGTTTGTCACCTGATATCGAGACGTGCGTATTGATTCTCACAGGACACCTCTTTTGGGTCTCTTGGGCCGCAGTCGAGATGAGTCCTCTCGGACGCGCGGCTCCGATTGGTCAATCGATCGCTCTCCGTCGTCGTCTTCTAGCGCGTGCGACATTGCGCGGGTAATAATCCATCAGTGCGGCCGCTCGGACCTCTGGATGCGACTGTCGTGGACCCATCAGTCGCCTCCCATCCTGTTCCCATCAGGCGCGAAGCCACTTCCAGCATCGACGTCCACGCCACATCGTCTGCGACTCTTCTCCGCCACTCTCTCCGTCTTTGTCGTCGGCTTTGCTTTCATAATTCATTTCGTATGACTCTCATGTGGAAGAGCAGCGACATTGAGAGTTTAGACTATGGTACGGCAGGCACACGGCGACTCTCTCTCTCTCTTGATTCGATACCTCTATGTGTTTGTATGCTCGCTCGGCTCTGCGGGTAGTGTCTCGAATGTATCGTGACGGACGTGTTTTTTGTGCTCGGTCTGTTTTGTACGTGGGTCGGTGGGTACTCGATGTACAGACCTCTTCGAGAGCGTCGTGAACAAGTCGGGCATGGGCTACAAGTACCGCAATGGACAGGAGAAGAATCGACTGATCTACGCACGCTGGTTCCTCACGCTGGCCACGGGCGTCATCACGGCCCTAGTTGCGGTCTTTCTGCTCTACTTTACGACGCTACTCACGTCGATTAAACACCACGTGATTGAGTCCACGATCCGTCATGAGCTGACCAAGCACGTGCTCTTTGGCACTACGTTCTGGAGTTTTGTCGCGTTCAATCTCGTGCTTGTCGCGATTGCCGCAACGGTCACGTCGTTTGGCGAGCCGGTAGCTGCTGGATCAGGTAACAAACGACAAGTTGTGCTGGTTGAGGGAAAAATAAAGCGACTGGTAGACGCGATTGACGTTGTTGATGAATGTGCTGGCATGACGAACTCGTGTGTAGGCATTTCGGAAGTCAAGACGACGCTGAATGGAATGAAGATTCCGTCCATGTTGCGTCTACGCACGTTCTTTTGCAAGATCATTGGCACGGTATGCTCCGTTGCTGGCGGTTTGCCGGTAGGCAAAGAAGGCCCGATGATTCACAGGTGAGTCTCGCGCTTTGCTTGGTTTGTGTATGCTCCGAGGAGACGACTGAACGTTGGGTTGTGTAGCGGTGCGATCGTTGCAGCAGGGCTTTCGCAAGGCAAGTCATCGACGCTAGGCTACGATACAAGGTGAGCTGCAATGAGAACACTTGCGTGAAGATGGGACGCAGACTGACGGCAAACGCTTTGTAGCTTTTCCTATTTTGGAGGATTCCGGAACGACCGTGAGAAACGAGACTTTGTGGCTTGCGGTGCTGCTGCTGGTGTTGCGTCGGCGTTTGGAGCGCCCATCGGTGGCGTTCTGTTCGTCTTGGAGGAAGGTGCATCGTTCTGGAATCAGACCCTCACGTGGAGAACGCTGTTTTGCGCAATGTCTGCAACGTTCACGCTGGCCTTCTTCCTCTCTGGCATGAACGACAACCTGTCATGGGGCACGCTTGGCAGTCATACGGGAAGCTTTAGCTTCGGGCCGTTCACGTCGAGCACGTACCAGATATGGGAGGTCCCTCTGTTTGTGATGATGGGTATTGGCGGTGGACTACAAGGAGCGTTGTTCAACGGTCTCAATACGCGTCTCGCGAGAATACGGTCTCGCTGGGTACGCACGAGTTGCGTTGCTTGGATGGAGGCACTGCTCTTCTCGGTTCTGATCTCATCGCTTCTGTTTTCCACTCCGTTCCTGCTTGGCAAATGCCACGTACTCCCACGAGCGCGTGAAGATGTCGTGCATCTTGCCGACACAGCAAGTGCTGCGGTAGCGCCCAGCAAAGCGTTTGTCTTTGGAATGGAGATGCTGAAGAAGAATGGCTCAGCTTGCATTTGTGAGAGCTGTGCTAGCGTGTCGATGGAAGGCGCCGAGTGTTTCCAAGCGGACGAGACGGTGCAGTATCCGTACAAGAAAGAGTTGCTGCGCTTCTACTGTCCCGAGGGCCAGTACAATGACTTGGCGTCGCTCATGCTCACGGGAGGCGAAACAGCGATAAAGCACTTGTTTCATGCACCGCCAGACTCGTTCGACGTGCGCAACCTCGTCGTGTTTTGGCTCATGATGCTGTTGCTGGCCTGTTTGACCTACGGTCTCAAGATACCAAGCGGTCTGTTCGTGCCGGCACTGCTCATCGGTGCCGCTTATGGACGACTGTGGACGCGCGTAATCAACTACTTCACGGGGCTCCAGCACATGAAAACGGTCGACCCGCGGACGTATGGACTCGTGGGCGGCCTGGCAATGCTCGGCGGCGTGACCCGCATGACGATCTCGCTCACGGTCATCATTCTCGAGTGCACGGGCAACATTGAGTTTGGCTTGCCACTCATTCTCACCTCCTTCTTTGCTCGGTGGGTGGGCAACTACTTCAACGAAGGCATCTACGACATCTACATCCATCTGCGTCACGTGCCGTTCTTGGATTGGAATCCGCCATCGCGCGGCGCTTATCTGCGCGTGAAACACACGATGACTCCGAATCCCAAGACCCTGCGCACAGTCGAGCGCGCTGGCGTTGTTTTCGATCTGCTGACAAGCACAAAGCACAACGCGTTCCCCGTCATCGTGGAAGACCCGACTTTTGGTAGCCGCTTCTTTGCCGGTGTGATCCTGCGGAAGCAGCTGAATGTGTTGCTGAGCTATCGGGACTTTAGCGTCAACAAGCCAAAGCCTTTCCACCGTCAGCCCCATCCTGCGTCGTACCGACCTGACGTGACGTCAACCGGAAACGTTCATCGCGGTCGTCCGAGGAATCTGGAAGCGAATGGCACGCCCCGAGTTGACGATAAGCTGCTGGAATCGCCTCTTGCCAGCAACTACTGCTTGTCGTACCACGACATGGAGGCGCATTATCCTCGGTACCCGATCCCAGCCCCCACGCATTGGAGTTGTCAAGGAACAGCAGCTCATGCAGGTCGTATAGCTGGTGACGAGCTGTACACTCTGTCCGAGGAAGACCGAGCCTCGTGGGTGGACCTGACACCGTACATGAACCAGACGCCATACTTGATCCAAGAAGAAGCGCCTTTTGTGCGCGCCTACCGTCTCTTTCGAAGTGCCGGTCTTCGGCATCTCGTTGTAGTCGACCGTCACAACAACGTGCGCGGGATCATGACAAGGCGCGAGCTCGAGGAAGAGCATTGCACCCGTTGCTTCCGTCTGGCGAAAACCATTGACCCAGACGATGTGTATCCGCTCTCGGAAGCGCCTCGGGTTGGGTTCCTGCGAAAGTTGCGCCACAAAGTCTCCCGGGCAGACCAAGTGAAGCGAGCGCTGAGCAACTCGGTCTCACATGTTTGACACCTGCGACTTCGGAGGTGACGACCTCGAAAGTGATTCAGCTTTGGACCAGTGAGCTGTATCGGAGACGACGGGGTCTGCCGTATAGTTACTGTATCAACAACAAGAACGACTGCTACACCAGTGCGGCAGCAGTGACTTGACGGCTGACGTGCTGTCTGAATAGACGTTCGCTCGACACGTTTTCTACCTCCGTTGCGTCACGGGGGACACGACGATACCGGTGAAGCCAAAGGAGAAGAAGCAGACCATGAAGGACACGACGCTGGTAGACGACGGCCAAAGGCTCAGGTTGAGCCCCTCGCCAGCTGTTGATGCTGCAGCGGGATCCGAGGACCCGACGACGGTCGCTCTACCACCACCGACATGTACCCAAGTGTCGTTCCGAGAGATGCAGCGGTTGCATGCGATGCGCATGGAGCTCTTCGGGTTCGGAGGATGGCTGACATCTGCGCTTTGCTACGGTACGTACGTTGACTGGTCACCATCCGTTCACTGCTGTCAAAGCGACGCTAGAGCTATTGGTAATGACGACAATCTGTTGCTATTGCTACTGCTGCTGCTGCTGCAGTGCTGTTCCTGGTATGGGCGTACGTCCCTGACGCGACGTTGGAGGCCTATGGGTTCACCTACTTCCCGTCCAAACATTGGGCGGTGGCTGTGCCAGCCATGCTTGTCATGACGTACCTCTTCTCGCTCGTGCTCTACAAAGCTGTCAACCTGCTGTCGACGCCACGGCTTGGGTCGTACGCCACGGTCGTGGACACGCACACTGTGGCGCTACCTGAAGGCACGACGTGCTTTGAAGACGACACGGAAGCTACGCCTGGAATCGGGGACATCTCCATCTTTGAAGTCAATCGCCACTTGTTTGCCGCGACGCGGCAGCAAGCGAAGTACCTCAAGCAGGAGTAGTCGATAAGGAGCAGTGCAAGACGAGATGGACGTCGACGGAGCCTAAGTGTTCTCTCTCTCTCTTCTCTCTCTCTCGCGTTTGGTTAACTTGCTCTCTGTCGTGGACGACAGGAGGGGACGCAGGACACCGACAACGCAGAGCTGTCCGGTCCACCCATCATTGAACGACTGCCTGCCACGATGCGTCTGTCTACAGCCCCATGGCGTACTTCATGATCTGGTTCTTCAGCGGCTCAACAGCATTGAGCGTGCCCATGCCAACGTTGCGTGCCACAGCTACTGCGTCTGGCGTAGGGCCAAACATCCGCTTGAAGCCGTCCATGGCCAGCTGCATCGTAATGTTCGCCTTCATCCGCTCGTCCTCGTACTGCTGCAAAAAGTACTCGCTCGAGAGGTTCTCCCCGCTCTTGACACCCTCGACAAGCAGGTCGCTCAGGGCCTGTACGTCACTCAGACCAAGGTTCAGCCCTTGGCCCGCCAGCGGATGGATCGTGTGCGCAGAGTCCCCCACGAGCGCAAGGCCAGGCTTGATGTACTTGGTCGCGTGCTTCAACTTGAGCGGGAACGAGTACCGCTGGCCTACCGCTGCCACCGCTCGGGGCGGCGCAACAAACGGCTCCATCAGCGCCGCGGCCGACATGATGGTACTTGCCGCATGGTGCACGCCCTTGACCAAGTCCGAGAGCACTGGAAGGCCTGGGAACTCGGGCGGCGGTGGCGTGATGGACGGCGCCGAGAACGCCTCGTTCAGCCGCGCGACAAACTCGTCCGGCGCGAGCGCCGTGAGCTCTTTGGCCATGTCGGCCGAGCACGACCACACCACCGACGAGTAGCCATCGCGCATGGGCAGCAGCGCGACTGGCCCCGTGGGGTAAAAGCGCTGCCAGGCCGTTGCGTGCCCGCCGTCCGTCTTGACCGTCGCGACCACTGCCTGTTGGTCATAGTCCCAGCCCCACGTGCCCAGCGCCGCGAGCGTGCGGACGATCGAGCGCCCGCCATCGGCCGCCACGACAACGTCGGCCTTCAGGCGCTGTCCGTCTTCCAACCCAATCTCCGAAAGGCCCGACACGACCGTCGGGCGCTGAAAGTGTTTGACCGTTGCAGGACAATAGAGCGTCAGCGGCACGGCAGCGGCCGTGGCGTCCGTCAGCTGCTGCATGCGCTCGTGCAGCGCGCGCACCAGTACGCGGTGCTCGACGACGTGCCCGAGGTCGGCGCGATGGACCGCTTGCGCGTCAAAGCGAATGAAGCCGTCGCCCAGAGCGTCCCACACTTGCATGTCCTTGAACGCCGCGTAGTCGCTGGACGGGATCAGCGCCCACGCGCCCGCAGCCTGCAGCAGCCGCTGACTGGCGGGCGTGAGCGTAAACACCCGCGCGTCCGGCGCGTCGGCGAACGGGGACGGCGCAACGGGCTCAATCACAGCCACGCGCTTGGCTCGGAACACGGGATGGCTCTTGAGCTGACACGCGAGCGCCGAGCCCACGACGCCGCCGCCAACGACCACGACGTCGTAGTGCGGCACGGCTGGATCGAAGCGTGGCGTAGGGGCAGCCGGAGCTGCCGTGGAGAAGGCGCGGGCGGCGACGGCGCGCGCGCTGTGCGTCGAGAGGCGGCGCGACGCGACGGAGCAGAGCGCCATCGAGTTGAGAACCGATGGCGCGGACGCGCGGCGGTGGGTGGAGCGGTCCGACTAAGTGCGAAGCTGTCGCACGTGCGGTGAAGCGGCTGTTCGACAGCGCGTCGACGCCCGCAGCGGTCTGTTTTGGGTTTGTGTTTTTATTGTGTTTTTGCTTTTTGTGTTTTGGTGTGTGGATGGGATTCGGTGGGGCGCGAGACGGCGCGTTCGACTAATTGACGGGGTTGGGGTTGGGTGGGGGTCGGTCGGTCGGTCGACGCTTGAGTACGGAGTTTTGGGGGGCTGCGCGACGGTCGTATTGCTCACGTGGACTACACACATACGTACGTACGTCTGTACTTACGTCCAAAACGGACGGCCTGTGCTTTCATTACATGAGTTCAGAGGGGCCACACCCGCGCAACACACATACACACACACACGCGGCGACGCCTCATTTGATGTGCCCTCTCTTTGCTGCCGACAACAGTGGCAGGGGGCGATGCCCCCCACATGGGCACATGTCGGCCTCCCTGTCCTGTTCTGCCCCCTCCCCCCTCCCTCTGCTTACTAAATACCGATGAAATCGTAGACCACACACTTCCTCCACTCGCAGGTCGGCTTGAAACGGACTGACGCTGCGCTGCGAACGACGTCCCCGCAACTACTCTGCATCGCTCGTAGCAGCCACACGCGTCGGGTCGTGGCGACGTTACAAAGACGGCCAATGGATCTACACCGCGACGACGGGAGCTGCTTCGGCTGCAATGACTGAACTGCTCGACTCGGTCAGTCGACCAGCACTGGGCGTGGAACTAGCAAACAACTGGGCACAACTGGGAGGCTTTACGCCGGCCAGCATGCAGTCCGACGAATTCGAGACATCAGACGGCGATGTGCCCATCTCCAGCAAGTCACAGTCGTGTGGCGACTCGAACGAGTCAATGGCGTAGGGCAGCTCGTTGTTCTCGTCCGAGCTATCGTCGTCGCCCAAGATGCAGTCCGAAGCGTAGTCAATGCTGAAGTCGTCATACGCTCGCATGTTGACAGCGTCGTACGCGTCCATGTTCTCCATTGCAAAGCGTACTTCCGAGTCCACAGCCATATTCCGAGCGCTGCTGCTGCCAAAGAAAAAGTCGTCGTCGCTGCTGTCGTCCACCAGCATAATGTCGTCCCCATCCTCTGGCTGCAACATACTCGGCTCGTCTTCCTCCATCATCAGCAGTGGTACGTCGCCCAAGCCGTACTGGTACATGAGGTCGTACTCATTCGACTCCCATCGCTCGCGATTGATACGGAACGTGTCGTGCTCTACGCGACTCAATACCGAGATCGAGTGGCCAGCGTTCTCGAGAATGTCCAGCCGCTCGCCAGGTTCCAAGTACCCCAACTCCATGTACTCCTGCCGGCCGACCCGCTGCTCGACACGCTCACTCTCGTACGTATCAACAAGCCGCTTCGTCCGCCGTCGGACGTCCACCGACATGCCAAGCTGCAGTAGCAATACAGCACAACAAATACACACGCACACAACCAGTCAGCGAGTCCGTCCGTCCTCCTCCGTCCGTTCGTAGCTGCTCGTTCATATAATTCGCAGTCTACACCCTCTTCCTCATCACACACGTACCGGTACACCTTCCGACGAGACCGCTGCGGTCCACATCGTGGGCTCAAACTCCACGACTTCGGCCACGTTGAACCGCACGCGTTTCCTCACTGGCTCTTGAACATCCACAGCCCCCGCAATGTCCATCTGCTGCTGTTGCTGCTGCTGCTCTTCCACTGCACCTGTTCTCGTCTCGCCGTCTTCCAGCAGACGGCAACACTCGACGTCCCTCTTCCCATCTGCTTCTGCTTCTTCACGCTGCGGCTCACGCTGCGGCTCTCCACTGCACTTGTGCTTCAACGTCACGACAGCTTCGAGCGCGTACGTACATACCGCCGACACTTCGGCAGGACGACGTGTCATACTGTACACAGTATCGTCGTCGTCGTCGTCTTCACTGTAAATCGCCTGTTTGCGGTCCGCGCAGCTGCTGCCGCTGCTGCAATGCAGTGTGACAAGACGAGAGCGGACGTGACGTGACGTCGGCCGCGCGAATTGAATTCTGTGTCCTCCTCGAGAACGCCCAACGCGCGCGACCGCGCGACGGCCAGACAGACCTTACGAAATCCAAGTCGACACCCGTAAGTGCGCCCTAAGTGCGATATCGGCCGGTCGAGCGAGCACATCAGGGCATTTCGACCACTCGCAGCGCAGCTTGCGCGAGCACGGACGTCGCGGATTGGCTGGAATTGCCGCGCGAGACAGCCGGGCTCCGCGATACAAACAGGAGGTTGGTGCAGCAGTCGTGCGGCACGGGGCGGTCAAGTCGGCTGCCGTTAGAGCGAAGGTCGACCCCTCGTCACAGTGACAATCGCCGGAGCGAATCAAGTCGGCCGTAAACAACGGCTTATACGACGGACAATACGGCCCATGTTCGGGTCCTACTACGTCTCCGCCGCCTCGGTGACGTCCGTGAGCCAAAAGTCGTTGACCCGACGCACACACAATACAGTCATTCGCCAGCGCCGACTCAACCACAGTGCGTCTCGATGGACACGTTCAGGTGCTTCCAGTACCAGTAGCGCCGCTCGGGCCCACTTCCAGGACAAACACCGCGTCCGAGAGCACGTAATACGGCTGCTGGAGGTCGCCACGGCACAAGTAGGGCACGCGCGAGAACTGGCGGAGCTTGAAACCTGCCGGCAGCAACACGTTGTGCAAGAGCACGTTGGCTGCTGCCTCGAAGGACGCGTGCTCGGCGCAGCGTCCGCCCTGCATGGGCAGCTCTTCCGTGGGCGCGAGACGGCGGGTACCTGCTTCGACGAACGCCGAGAACGGCAGGACGACCGCGAGCAAGAAGAGACCCGTCCGTGGATCCAGTAGGTCGCGAACGGCGCGAAGCATCGTGAGAGGCCGATCAGCGCGGTCCAAGACGTTGAGCATGCTGGATACACACAGACACACACAGAGAGAGCAGCACGTGCACAGGGATTCATGATCCAGTTGTTACTCGCAACAACGACTTTGGTGCATCACCCTCAAGTGGAACGAAAGATACGGCGTGTAGACGCACCTGATGATGGTGTACGGCTTTCGCGACTGCACGATTTCGTGCTGCAAGTCGCATGTTTGGACGCTGTTGTACCCTCGTGCATCCAGGTGGGCGACCATGGGAGCAGAAGCCTCCGTCGTGGTCACCTCGTCGACAAGCGAAGCTAGCGACGCGGTCACATGGCCGTCTCCGGCTCCAATGTCGAGCAGAGATGTCTTGCAGCCTGCCACAACCTGTTGCCTGCGAAACAGTTGCTGGACTTGAGCGCGCGAGAGCACAAACATCTGACCGCCTGGATGGACCGCATACGGAGACAGCAAAGAGCGAGAGAGGAGGATCATGAGATGGGTATTCACCAAGGTTGTTGTTGTTGTTGCTGTTGTTGCAACCCTGCAACAGGAGGAGCACATTGGTTCGTGCCAGCTCTTGGGCTCACGTACGCCCGAGCATTCCGTTCGTGTCGGTCAGCGAGTAAAAGAGTCCGAGCAAGCTGGAGCCCAGCGATTCCCATAGACTTCCTGCAGTACATGTCTGCTGGAGGCATAGCTCTCAGCATGTGCGCTGCTCCGTGTCCCAAGCAGTTAACGTATGGACGTCCACGCACCTCCAAGAACGATTGGGTCTCCTCGTCGCAGTTTAGCTGCACGAACACCGACTGCAAGACTGGATCGCTGGAACGCAAGTACAGTCGGAACCCGTCACAATGGCAGCAGTGCGTGTGTGTATGGCACAAGGTGCACCTGTCTTACAGCAGGGACTGGTCCACGTTGTACTCGAGTGTCGGTCCGAAGTTCGGCTGGCGCACACGCTTCGTTGCGTCCCTCACCCACGTCTTCATCGCAGCGTTTGCCTATCTCTTCGGCTGATCTTAGAAAAATGCCACGCGAGCTAAACGCAGCGGATATCGACTGTCATGATTGGCATTTCAGAGGTCTTCGACCGGTACGAGAACGCTGGCAACATTTATTCCACGTCAAGGTCGATCTCGCACGGGTCCGCTCGTGCTGCTATCCCAACAATGTCTGCCACTACTACTGCTTGGTCGACGAGTGCTTCGTCCTGCCTGGTACTATCTCCAACGTCCACTGGCGTCGCGTCCAAGTTACCGCCGTCATCGTCGTCATCCAGGCTGATCTCATTCGGATCCTCGACAGCCGCTAGAGCTGCGCCGCCGCCCGAAAACGGCGACGTAATAACATGCGGAAGCTTCAGCAGCTCCAACAAAAGGTCCGTCTGAGGATTGCCCGTCACGGGTACAGATTCCTCTTGCAGCTCGCCGTGGCCAGGTGCGGTCTTTACGAAGTCGGTGATCCATTCGCCTTGTACTTTGTCCAGCTTCTTTTCAGCCACAAAGTCATCGAGGCGCTGCTTCACCCAAGCAATATCCTTGTCCTCGATCTTCATCTCCTCTTGTGGCACGCGCGGCGCAAACTTGTTGGCCGAAGCAAGATGGTGTGTCGCGCGCAGGATAGCAAGCCATTCCAAGTCGAACATGACTTTTGGCGGCGACGAGCGCGTAGCAGTCCGACTGGCCCCAGTTCCTTCGTCGGCGTTACTGGCATCCTGCTTCATGTCTGCGTCTTCGGTATCATTCTTCAGCTCGCGCGTATGTGCAGATCGTAGTGCTGACGGCATCAGGTCCAAGATCTGCATGAATTCTCGACGCGGGAGGCACTTGTCAAGCGCCAGAAACTTGGTCGTGGCTGGCTCGGATGGCGGCAATGCAGGCGCCGTGGCTGGCTCTATCTTCGTCGTCTCATCAGCTTTGCTGCCATCTGCGTCGACCTCACCTCTTGCTTGGCGCGGGTGGACGACAATGGCGGCAAACTTGACGTGCAAATGTGCCGCAAACCAGTACTGCGGACGCAGTTGGTACATCAGGTACTCGCCAGCCGGACTGCCCAGCGTATTCGTCATGATCTCTTGCTTGAAAAACGGTTTGCGACGCAGCAACTGCGACACGTTGCCGTGCTGCTCGATCCCGCGAGGCCAGTCATGCGACAGGAACACGTTCACGGGCGTCTTGTCCACCTGCTGCAAGTGCGAAAGCTGGAAGACCTCGAGCTCACGGACGTGGTAGACACTGCGCATCGTGTTGTGGTCGAACGGAGGCGCTTCGAAGCGTCCGGCAGTGTAGTGCTGCTGCTTGTAGATGCCCGAGAGCCCCGCGATCCGCAGTCCAGCGACGTTGATGACGCCGGAGGCCCCGAGATAAAACATGTTTGGAGCTACCCACCCGCCGTAGAGCAGCTCCTGTAGATACCCAGACGCTTCGTGGTTGCCACCGACAAAGACAGTGAGCACCGGCGCCGTTTTCGCTTGTGTGTAGTATCGGTGGAAGGCGTGCAGCGCGCGGTACTTGGGCGGACAGGCCAACGTCTCGAGGTCGCGCAGGTTGCGCATGCACTCAAAGTCCCCACAGCACAGCAGCAGCTCGACGGGACGCGCCGGATCCATCTCATTGACAAAGTTGATCGTCGCGTAGATGTCGTCCAGCAGGCCATGGGCGCAGCCGACAACCGCCACGCGCACCATTGGAGCTCTTGGCACCGAGCTGAGTTACGACTTGCTCGGCGGTGGAAGTAAGGCGATGAAGTATCGTTGCAAAAGTAGGGCGTAAGTAAGTGCAAGGGCACGTCCGTTCCGGTGCGTGGCTTAGGGCTGGAATCGAAATACTACTGACTTTGGAACTTTGTACGCGGGAGAAGGCGACAGATGATGGACTTGCTCGGTTTCGAGCTTGCGACGATGATGATGCTCTATCCACGTGGTGTCCGCATTACCAACGTCCAGGTGGCAAGCGTTTTGAGGCTGAAAATTTGCTCGGATACTTAAGTGAGTCGGTTTCGCGTCGCCCTCGTTTTTCGCGCCGTCTGCATGCTCTACCATAAACCAGTACGTTGTGGTCCCCCCCCGTCTGTAGGACGGGGAGCAACCTCGAGGGCTCACTCCTCTTTGTTCATTGGCGTTCGAGACGCCTTTTTCCATCGAATCACAGTCGGTAGAGGCTGCTTTTCTTGAAGTTCAGCGGTCGCGGGGGTAGGTGCAGGCCCCTGTTGCTGCCAATGAGCATCGAGTCGTTCGCAGCATCTTTTCCCCACAATTAGACAATGGCAATGAACGAAGAAAGGGAGGGCTCACGAAATCGCTACGAAATACGTCGCTCGTGCTACGAAATCGACGAAATCGCTCCGAAAAGACGTCATTTGACCTCCGAATTAGACTACAAATAACGCCCCACCCCGCGGCGTCGTCTCCTTGAAGCTCATAGTGCAATTTGCCAACTCTCACCCACGAGCGCCACCCACAGAGTCACTAACAACTTCTGTCGCGTCACCAAATCCCATTGCGTCCCATGGTGTCGTCCCCCCTCTTCCTGTCGTCGCTCGACGCGCTGGCGCCCCCTTTCTACCCGTCCACGTCGTGGGCCCCAGCGAGCACCGACAACGCCACCGACAACAACGACAACACCGACGACGACTACAACTGGGGCCGTCCGCAGTCGCCGGGCAAAAGCGACGCCGTGTCTGTCCTCGAGGTGCCGGACGAAGAGCTGTTTGATCCGTCGTTCTACCCGCTCTCGGAGACGGAGATGCAGGAGCTCGCGCAGGTGGACGAAGTGAACGCGATCCTGGCCGAGCTCGGGCTGCTGGAGAGCCACCAGGAGCTGCAGTGTCAACGGAGCGACAAGACGCCTTCCGGTCGCTGCGCAGACGCGGACGTGGACGCAGAGATGTACCGCTGGATGGCCGCAACGGCGGACGGCGAGCGCTACGCAGTGCCGGAGCAGACTGCGTGCCACGTGGAGCGCACCGGGCAGTCGACGCGGCACCAGCCGCGATCGGTCAAATAGAGCGCCTGCACGTCGATCGACTCGATGTGTGGCCGCATCTGTTGGACGCACTGGTGTGTGCGTGTGTGGGTGTGGATGTGTGTGTGCTGACGCGACGCGCGCGCCATTCGACTCGACCGAAAGAGAGCGAGGGAGCGAGAGCGAGAGAGAGAAAAGAGACGAAACAACAAGGACGAGCCAGGGAGTGAGCGCTGGAGCTGCTGGCGACCCTTGAGACAAACAACAACCGCAGACAACTCGGGGCGACGGACAGGTAGGAAGGAAAAACAATCGGTACAGTCGCACTAGGGAGGACGGCGCACAGTGTGGTGTCGACGAGAGAAGAGAGAGAACGAACGGAAGACGCGAAGACGATCAATGAGCGCGAGGGACACGACGAAGGAATAAAGGGGGAGCGTCTGGACCCCTACGGATGACAGTTGATGGAAGACTGGTCACGTGGGAGCGAGAAGCTCCGGAGGATATATCGGTCGGTCTCGCGGCGTCTCCGGGACTGCAGGTAGCGCTCACTGTACATCATCGATCGGGCCGTACTCGTGTACACTTATCGAGAGAGAGAAAAAACGTAACACAATGTACGATGGAGCAACAGTTGGCCACCTTTGCAAAAGCGCAGTATCTGTTTGTGTATTTGTTTGTTGTTAATGACTTTGCCGCGCGTCGCCCCGTCGTCGACGGTGTGGGGAAAGACGCGGTATCGTGTGTCGCTCTTGATCGCTGCCTCCGACTGTACTGGAGCGTGCACGAGCAAGCGCTCGCCGGTCTTCGGGGCTCAAGTTACGGACGCGATTGAGGTCGACCTCTTTGGCATAGCTCCTCATCGCCGCTTCGTTGTCGAGGAGGCTGTCCCGCAGTGCGCGGTTGGCGGTAGTGCGCCGAGCGGATGCTGCTTGGGAGGGAGAGCCAAAGCCGCCTCGTCGACATTTGCGCAGCAGGTCGACTCGAGCCGCGACACGAACTCGGAGCAACAGCACGAATCGGGCGAGCGCGGCCGGTGCCATGCCGTGCGAGCGACTGAATAAAGTCTGAGCTCTTCAGTCCATGGGCTGGAAACGACGGCCTGATGGGACAATGGCTGTCCTCGCTGGCTGGCTGGATGGCTGGCTGGCTGGATGGTAAACAACCCGTGACTGACAGCAGCTTTTTCTTCTGCTGTCTCGTGAGATTGAAGGGAAGGTCGACTACCGGTGCGTGCAAAGCGCTTCCTACGGGCGTTGGCAGCGACGGGCTCATCTTTCCACTACGACCCGGTCGAGGATTCGACTGTCGGATTCGACTGCGACTACCGCGCGGATACACGTTCGCGAGACATGACTCTTCCTGCAAGAGAGTGACCTGATGCCATCCAAGGAAACAGTAAGTTTTAGTCAATATACGACGCTTTTATCTTGCAGATTAATATTTTCAGAGCATGTGCGCTGAAATTGAAAAACAACCACGCTGGGCTTACCCTTTGTAGTACAAAGCACTCGTGAAAACTACTTCGAGCTTCGGACCATTCCGCCGTACCCACGTCCAGCAATTGAGATGGGCGGCTGGCGGACAATCCGAGCAGAGCAAGATGTAATGGCGACACAGTGTTGCCATGACCACCTCGTACGTGCAGCACACTTGTCGGTGCAGTAAAAGTGTTACATGACAGGGATAAGGGGGGCGGGGGCGGGGAATGAAAGTTGAGCTCGCATGTGCGACAACAACAACAACGAATGCAGCAACGACATGATGCTGATGGATAAGGAGGGAAAAGTTCAGGAGCTTTATCAGCCGCCGAACAGGGAGTGTAGAACTTAATGTTCTCGTTTTTTTCTTTCGGTAGTACAATTAATAGATAGTTTGTAAATGCATGTCAACATTTTCAAAACTAATCCTTTCTGCCTGATGCGTGATGTGACATCGTAGTTGATTTAAATGTGTACAATACAACATCAACACATCAAACACAAGAAAAAATTGCCGAGTTATGTTGGTGTCATAGGCTGTTGAGTCTGGATAAACGGTATTCCTTCGCCGGTTGCCCCTTCAAATCAATCGTAGACGACACCGCATCTCTTTGGTACTGTAAAGTTACGGCTCACGCCTGAAGTACTTGGCCCGTCCTTTTTTCACCCCTTTTCGTCTCTCTTCTTGAATCGGGCTCAATTCTTCTTTGTGATGTGGTGCCAACCATATATGCGAAGAAGGCTTACAGTTATAGTCTTTTTCACATTTTCTATATTGTTCGGTCGGTCAACTTTCGATGTCCTAGATCATCATAACGGCCTTCGCTGTACGGACGCTGTGGCAAACATACTCGGTGTTCCAGCCAATTTCACGCTGTCGTCAATCTGCATACTCAGAGTACTTTTATAGATTTGGTAGACCGCAGTTTCAGCCAATCTGGCTTGATGCTGAGGCAACTTTACACTCAAGTATCGGCTATTCGATTCCGGTAATTTTGGCCTTCTGATTATTGTAGTGTAGCTGCCGAGCCTGGATGATCTAGGAACCACGCCCCAGTTTGGCGCTGCTTCTGTTAGATCTGGTCTTCTAGTGACAATGTATGGACTGTAACGGGGCACACCCTTGCGTAACTTAACGCAAGGGATTTGGGTGCCCCGACGGACGTACACGCGGCGAGCGAGGAAGCGTAGATAGGGTAAAAGTAGAACTGTTATATTAATAAAATTAAGTCTTTAAACTACTGTCTCTTCGTTTGACTTAATTCAATTATACTAATATAACTGCATGTATGGTGACGTCTCGTCACCACTCATTGCGCGCGTCTTGCGGCGATTGGTGGGTTGATATCATCACGATATCAACCAATGAACAGACCCTTTGGTCGACCCTTCAATATCACCACTTTGGTGATATTGTTTAAAGAATATCCATCTTATATTCTTTATTGTCACTTTCCTTAAAGTGACAATTTCATGTAACGGGCTGCCCCGTTACATCACCCCCCCTTAACTGATAGTCACCGAGTGACTATCGAAAATATGGAGGCCACCCGTTGGCCACCTTTGGGACAGGGAGCACTTGTTTGGTCCGTTCCACTCACTTTCCGCTTGACCTCGCATAGTTAACATGTCTATGCGAGGTGACTCGAGACCCACACAGCCCGGTGCTGTGCAAGCCTCTGCGGCAGACGATTCGTCGTCTGCCGCCCCTTCTTCGCCTGCAGCAACATGTGCTGCAGGTGCACGCGGTATCACGCCGCGTGCGCACGATGACCCTGATGTAGAGGTCATCTACTCTGGCGAGTCAGACGTGTCTGACTCGGGCAATGCTCCAGAGGCGTCTCGCTCACCGGCGACGCCTCAGTATTCGTCAAGACCACTGCCGAACGAACGGACTCGTGATTTGCATCACAGTCTGTTAGGCAGTGATGATGATGATCAGGGTGGTGAGGAATTCTATTCCTCACCACCGCCGACTCATGCGTCTTCGCACGAGCGTGATGACGATGGCGCGAGCCGTCGTCAATCTGGGAGCCGTGGTACCGACAAGGGTACCACTGTGAAGCGTGATGAGTTGAAGCCGTGGCGTTTGCCCGAACAGCTCATCAATAGCCTGTCTCACGAGACAGGCCAACACCATCGAATACCCTTATTCGATGCAACCGAGCTTCACGGCTTGAGTTCCAGCGCGAAGAACTTTCGCGCTGAAGAAGATTTTTATCTCGATGTCTTTCTTAGACATCGATGGTACAACAGCAACCAAAAGCGTGACAAAACATCGCTTTTGGCTGCGTGGAACGCGTTCGTCCAAAACGTAAAGAATTTTGGACGAGAAGGGTGGCTAAAGAAACTTGAGGCGACACGCCTCAGGTTCGAACGGCGAACGCCAACCGGTGCTAGGTACCTGTTGCATTGTTTATCGAGTGAGGCAGGCATTCCTTGCCTCACATGGGGAGACCCTTGTGCGAGTTGTGTTGACAACTCGCAGCGTGCACATAGGGATGTGTACTCCCTAAATTCGCCCTGGAAAAGGGCACACATCTCGGCTGAGATGCGTGACGCGATTGCAAACTTGCAATCCGTCTACAAGCGCCTAGGGCGCGTGTTTACCGATGGGCCACAGGACTCATCGGATGGGTCTCGTCATACTGGCGGACGAGACCTTCAACATCCATCAACAGCTGAGAGCGGGGCTCCCAGCTGTTCCAAGAGGGTGGATGCCCCCGCCACTGGACGAGGTAGCTCGTCCTTGATCCTGAATCGTTACGGTGATTCAAGATACGCTCCACTAGAAAGCGTTGATCACCGTGAGCATCCACCAAAGGATGTGGTGGAGGAGGAAAGACCTCCTCCAGATGATTCGGTTCACCATCTCGACCCTTACGAGATGGATCGCGCAATCGATGAATTGCGCGATGACTTGAAGCACGAGCGCGACCGGCGCTACGCTTTGACTGATACCGTGCAAAAGAACCGCAAGGGTCACGAGGCTGATCGGGCGAGGGATCGCGCCGATTATGCCACGGCGCAGCTTCAGGTCGATCGGGATGTCCGCTCCCTATTCGGCGAGCTGGCGACAGCTCGCGGGGAGACATCTCGGTTGAATACCGAGGTATCATATCTGCGCGACCAGACGGATCGTCTGGAGCGCGAACGCAAGAACTTGATGGATGTTCTTGAACGTGGGGGCTATCTTCATCGGAAGAAGAAGGCTCGTACTGACAGTACGACATAAGCCTCCCCACGTAAAACGTAGGATGCGTGCGCATCTTACGTGGCAATTCGAGTGTGTATGCATTGCCCTTGCGATGCAACACTCGAAATGGCCCAATGTATTTCGGCAGTAGTTTACTACTGCCGACACTAGTGACTGCATGTCCAGGTAAGTTTACCGTATATAGTTTTACTAGGTCGTTGACCTTAAATGAAAGAACATTTGCTCTTCCATTATTGTCTGCGTTCCGTTTCTGACGGTCCACCGCATTTGCGATGGAGTCCTGAACGAATCGGACTACCGCTTCTCGAGTCAGCAGGAAGTTCTCTGCTGACTCTTTGTTTTGT